CATACATCGGCCCAGCCCTGCCAAAGCGATGCCCAGTGCAAACACTCAGGGACGCAGCTGCTCAAGGCCGTTCATGCCTCATCAGTGCCCCCTTTGTGGACCTACTGGAGCATTTTAGGGGAGGTTTGCACAATACAGAGCAGAGCAAGGGCAGGAGGGGCTCCACCATTGAGTACTCACCATCTGCGGGTCTGTTTCCAACCCCAAAGCCCAGGTCAGCAGCCTGACTTATGAAGCATAGAGGCAGCTTTACATCTTATGGGAAATCAAGGGGAAATGTGCATTCATAAAAATGTATCCCACCCTCCTTACCCCAACATTATTATTTTTTTTTTAATGGAATTTGCTTTGCTTTTTAAAAATAATTTATAAAAGCTAAACATATTTACAGCAACTAAATGGCTAATATAGAAACTGGACCCTCCCCACCACCCCAGTCCCAACCTCAAAAGTTCCTCCCAGTTTGGAGCCTGTCCTTGCATACACACATGTACACACGCAAGCACATGTACACATGTCTGTGTGCACACACACATGCTTGTCTTTATTTTTGGCAGAAATAGGATCACACTCTACCTCTTATTATTTGCTTTTATTTCATTAACAAGGAATCATGGATGTAGCCTCTGCCTGCTGTCCCTCCCTCAGTCCTGTGGAGCACCCAACAAGACAGACACTGAACCCAGGTCTGCCAGCAGCAGAGCCCAAGGTCTTAATGGACTCACCAGTGGTCTTCTCTGAACCTTCCTTTGGAGGTTCTCAAACTTCCAAAACATAATTGTCAAAGGTTTTTATTAGAAATATAGAGTTCCACCCTAGAGACTTGAATTCAGAAGGTCAGATGTGGTGTCTCATGTACTGGATTCTTAATAAATAGCTGCTTCTGGCAATTCTTATGATGGCCTGCTCAGCTAGAGGACAGTCACGGCTAGTTGTTGGGACCATGAAGGGGCCACCTTTCCCCACAGGCCCTGTCCCTATGTCAATATACTTTAGCATACGCGATCTTCACAATGATCAGGGGATGACTGCACACTGGGCTGTGTGCACACCCCACACACCGCCATCATCCCCCCAGGCATGGAGTTCCTGGTGGAAAGGAACTGTGGAACCTTCCCTGTCAGAGCCTAGACCCTGCTTCCCAGGGTCAGGCAGAGTGCTCAGGGTTGAGCACCGGGAGTTGCTGGTCCTTGGCTCAGTCTGCTCAGTGACTTAACCAAGGAACAGGTTTTTTTGGGAGGCCAACAAGGTGCCATGTGATACCAGCCTGCCAACACCAGTGAAGGACAGATCACACAAGAAACAGCATGAAAGAGCCATGTCTCTATGTGTCTCTCTGCCTCTCTGTCTGTCTCTGGGATGGTTCCTTCAGCCTCATGTGTGGGTATCTCTGGATCCCCACACCCAGCAGACATGGAAGCTAATCCCAGTTCCCTGTACCAGTTACTGATGCTTGCCATTGTGGATCAGTCCTAGCATTTCCTGCAGAGCTTGGGTGCAACGTCAGAATTCTGAGACTCCACATTCTACTCCAAGTCATCCATCAGCACAGTCTCAGCAACTACAAGCTATTTGCCACTGTCTGCCCCTCAGCATACCATTTCCCCCTGAAGTCCCTTCTGGTGGTCCTGGAGGTCACTCAGGAGTTGGTGTTATAGGGACTCGCACGTGGGAACTTATACTGTCTGTCCTGGTTCCTGTCCCCTAAACAAGGCCTTCTCCCTGGGTACCTGTGAGAGTTCTAGTGAGGGCAGTGGGTGGGTGGGGGTCTCTGATTCCAACCATGTGGCTCTGTGACCTTTGCTGGCACCTGATGCTGGCAGCAGAACATGTGTCACTTCCTTCCCTCTGATAGAACACCTTTGTGTCCCAACTCCTGCAAAGAGCAGGGATGAAGGACGTAGAGTGAGCAGCCAGATTCTATCCCGGAGATGTGCTCAGTGATGTCTCGAGTGCATCTCCGGCACTTGCTGACTGTGTGACCTCAGTCAATCACAATATCCATGCTTTCATTCTGCTGGCATTTATTGTGTGCCTATTGTGTACAATTGTAGGCTCTGGGGATACAGCCATGGACATGAGGATATATTCCTGTTTTCCTTGAGTTGACAGAGCTTGTGCAGATAGGAGAGCTATAGATAGTCAGGAGAGTGGTGGAGAATTGAGGGAAGCACACATACAAAGGCTTGTAGGTGGAAATGAGTTTTTAAAAGAAAGCAAGGAGGCCATTGTGGTTGGAATGGGATGGTGGGGTGAGGGCAGGACAATGGGAGAGAGGTTGGAGGAGTAAAAGGGTGCAAGGCATTGGTGGAGTTAGCATTTTATTCTAAAGTGGAGTGAAACCAAAGAGGGGCAGTCAGGAGCTAAGATAGGGATCAATAGGAGTTCTCTCTGGGACCCATGGGAAGTGTGACCAGGAGACTGAAAGGGGATGAAGGACAGGGATCAAGATTGCAGCAGAAGGCCAGGTAGGAAGTTGTGACCATCAGGACCCAATGTCTCCTTCTCAAGTGCCATGTGATTTATGAGGTGTAAGATAAACACTAGACTGCTAACCACAAGGTTGGCAGCTCAAATCCAATAGCTACTCCTTGAAACCCCACACAGGGTGCTATGAACTGGAACTGACTCAAGAGTATTCGACAACAATAGCAATGTGACTTAATGAAGATCCGAGACCTGAGGAAATGGGGGACAGGTCATCCTAGATAAAACAGTGTTGGCAACACCTCTAGCCAACTCAGGGTTCTGGATGTGAAGTATGGCTGAAATCCAGAATGAACTGGGCCCCATTTACCTGGAATCCCAGGATGAGAAGCTGCCTTCAGGGTCCATGGTTTGTGTGAAGGAGAAGGGGCATTTTTCTTTCTACTCCTGCTGTGTCCCTGAAGTCATGGTGAGTCCTGGACTACCATCAGAGACCAGATTAGGTACAGGATAGCAAAGATTAGTCCTATTAAACAGATAGTGAAAATGAGGCTTGTAATAGGAAGCCATTGCCCTAAGACCACAGAGTTGAAAGGCACAGAGCTGTCAAAAAGCTCCTCTAGAGTTCCACCAGGTCTCTGAAGGTGATACGCCTTGGCCACCTCAGCCCAATTCCAACCCATAGCTCTCACATGCCAAATGCCAATGTGGTATCTCTTTGGACTGGGGCAGCAGAATGGGTGTTATGGGATGCCATGGTGGGTGGTAAGGTGCAGCCTGGCCGGACTCTGTCTTCTTCTCTTGGGTTAAGTCTCACACAGGAGTGGGGTCCAGGACTCATCCACATTCACTCCATTATCCCACATGATGAGAAGCTCTGAGTGTGGGTGGGTTATATGGGGACACAACACACTGGCTCTCTCAGGGACTCAACATCAACCAGACATGGTCCAAGACCCTAATCAGTTATTTATCTGAAGGGCCTGTTTTTCTCTCCTCAGTAAATTAGAGCTTCCTCTCTGTAAAATTGTGTCATAATAGTATAAACCTCACAGGGTATATATGAGTATGATAGGGAATTCAGAAAGATGGGATCTGCAATAATAATCTCCCCCTGGGGCCATTGAGTCTGGTAACAGAGGAAGTGGATGCTCTTCTCCCTATAAACCTTGTGTTTCTGTTGTTAGGTGTTGACAAGTCAGTTCCAACTCATAGTTTTCCTATATACAACAGAACTAAACACTGCTAGGTCTTGCCCCATACTCACAATTGTTGATAATTTTTGAGCCCACTATTGCAGGCACTGTGTTAACTCATCTAGTTGGGGGTCTTCCTCTTTTCCAGTGTTTCTAAGCCCTAATACTTTCTCAGTTAATACTGTTGTTGTTAAGTGCCATGAAGTCAATTCCGATTCATAGTGACCCTGTATAGCATTTCTCAGGAGCCGCTGATGGGTTTAAAACACCAACATTGCAGTAAGCAGGCCAGTGTTTATCCTATAGGGCCACACCAAGGCTTAGTTAATATTGCTGTTAAGTGCCTTCGAGTCAGTTCCAATCATAGCGCCCCAGTATGGGTTTTCCAAGGAACTGCTGGTGGGGTTGAACCGTTGACCTTGTGGTTAGCAGTCCAGTGCTTATCATAGAGCACCACACCAGGACTCCCAGTTGACATTAGCTGATTAGTCTCGTTTCCATAACTCTCTGTCTTCCTTATAGGCCCCTAAAGCCCAGCATTCTCTCAAGGCTGGTCAGCTGGTACAAATCTCACTCTTTAGTGAGCCTGGAAATGAATAGTTCAGTGTTCTATCACCCACCTCACCATGCCTCCGTTTGTTCATCTGTAAAACGGGATTGACAATGAAGCCTCTCAGTTTCACTCAGGGTAAACGTTGGCAAAGGGACATGGCCTGTAGTGGTAACACCATTCAGTACTCAAACTCAGCCAGGCCTGTAGTCTGGAATTATTTTGAGTTATTTATTGCTGTTAAGTGCCCTAGAGTCCAAGCAGAGGGCCTGGCCAGGTACCTCAAGCCTGTCATACACGACAATAGTTGTTGTTAAGTGCTGTCGAGTCGGTTCCGACCCACAGTGACCCTGTATAGGGTTTCCAAGGACCAGCTGGTGAGCTTGAATTGCCGACCTTGCAGTTCAAATGGCTTTGCAATCTGGCGCATTAATCCACAGCGCCACACCCTGACTCACATAGCTACCCAACAAAAGTCAGGGAGAGTTCAAATGAGTGGACAGGGTCAGAACGGATCCAGAGGCACTACAGCCTGCAGCAGTCTTTTCGGGACTCGGTTTCCCCTTGCACCCTGTCCAGGTCGGCAAGCAGGCAGTCCCAGGGCACCGGGGCGGGGCGGGGCGGAGGGTGGGGCCTGCGGCGGCGCGGCGGCCTGGGGTGATCCCGGCGCTCCGCCCCGTCCCGCCCCGCCTCCACGGGCGGGTCCTGGCAGTCTTAACGCGCCCCCACGCGGCGCTCGGCCTCTGCCTCTGCCAGTCGCTGTCCGTACCGCAGCTGCCTCTGCATCTCTGAGTCCGAGTCCACCATCCTATACGCCCGGCCGCACCATGGAGGCTTATCACAAACCCGACCAGCAGAAGCTGCAGGCCCTGAAGGACACGGCCAACCGACTGCGTATTAGCTCCATCCAGGCCACCACGGCGGCGGGCTCCGGGTGAGTCGGGAACGAAGCTGGGGAGGAGGCGCCCGGCTCGGGCGGGCCCAGGCAGGGATAGAGGAGCCGCTTCCAGTGGCCGCAGTTGCACCGAGCGCTCCGGCTCCGGGTAGGGCTGCACAATGTCACCACGAGGAAGGCTCTGGGGGCGCGGTCAGATGGCGGAGGCGCGGGCCGTGCGCCAGCCGGTACGCGCGCCTAGCTGGGCCCCTTCCGCTGCGCCGCCCTCTCCCGCGCCGACTGCCTAGGGCTTGGCTCGCGAGCCTCGGTGCGATTCAGGCCCGCTTTACCTCTGTCTGAGGACTCCGGCTATTTGCTGCACGGTAGCATGAAATATTGGGCTCCATCGCAAAGCCCCCTTCTCCAACCTTGTTCAGAAGGCCACCATTATTGCGCACGCCCTCTGTAGTGTTCTCTCCGTGCTCGGCTCTCTTAATTTACCTCACAACCTTGTGCTGGCACTACGGATAAGATTCCGCCTTTGGAAAAAACAAAAGAAAACCTCGTAGCCGTTGCGTAGATTACGACACACGACTCTGTAGGAAAGAGTAGAACTGTCCCCATAGGGTTTTCAAAGCTTTAAAATCTTTACGGAAACAGACTGTTAGATCGTTCACCCGGCGAGCGGCCATTGAGTAAGAACCACCAACCTTTGAGTTAGTTAGCAGGCAAGCGTTCAACCACTGAGCGACTAAATAACATCCGCTTTACAGATGAGTAAAGGAGGCTCAGAGTTTAAGTTACTTGCCTAAGGACACATAAAGCAGGGATCTGAACCCAGGTGATCTGAAGGATTTCTGGCTCACAGCTGGGAAATGTGGATCTTCTTCCCCTTTAACCACTTCAACTTGCTGTCGCCCTTTAAGGTGGTCACGTGGATACAGAATCCTGTGTAACTGAGAGGCCTGAGATCTGAATTAGGGGAATAGAAGGAGGTGAAGGAAATACCAGTTTTAGGCCCTGGGGTGGGAATGAAGTCCTGGGCTAGGCGCCAGGTGTACTTTCCCCACCGGGCGGGAACTCCCATCCTCCAAGAACCGCCCCACTCCTCCCAGGCTTCTTGGCTCCTAAGGTGGAGAAAGGCTGTTGCTGATCCCAAAGATCCTCTTCCAAAGGTGGGCATTAGCAGCGACAGTGATAAGAACAGAAGTCCTTCACACATCCGAATGTGTCCAGTAGGATGGTTGACAGAGTCAGCCGTGAGTGACTTCAAAGTCTGTATCTGCTCTGTAAAATACAGACAAAAATAGCACCTACCGCGGGGTGGTTGAGGATTCAGTGCTCTGCTTGGAACCCTAAAGAGCTCTGGTAGCCTAGTAGTTATGAATCGGGCTGCTGATCTCACGGTCAGCAGTTCGAAACTACCAGCTGTTCCGCGGGAGAAAGATGAGGCTTTCTGCTCCCATAAAGATTTACAGCCTCAGAAAGCCTGTACAGGGTTGCTCTGAGTTGGAACTGACTCCATGGCACATAACACCACCACTTGGGACCCTGCATGCGACCTTGGTAGTGGGTACATACACTGATTATTAAAACTAAAGTGTGGGGGCTGGGGGACGTGTGGCTTGATCAAGTTTCCTAGGATCTTGGAAGTCAAGTAAAACAAAGTCAAGACTTTGACTTCTGGCTTGGCTCCACACAATAAACCCTGGACTGCGAACCACAAAGTTCGAGATTCAAACTTGCCAGCCGCTCTGCAGAAGAAAGATGAGGTTTTCTGCTTCCTTAAAATTTAAAGCTTCAGAAACCCTATGCAGAGTCACTATGAGTTGGAACTGACTCATCAACACTTAACAACTCAAGAAAGTTATTAAGTCAGTCTCTTACTGCTATGCAGGTTAGGTACACATCCACCCTTTGTGCCATTAAGATGCCCTTTCTAAGAAAGAATTAAATCCCTCCTGGCTAGAGGCCATTTCCCATCCACCCTTGCACACCCCTATGCACACTTAGTACCCATTGTCTCTTTCTGGTGTAGATCAGTTCTACCCACTGTGTTGGGTACCCATGGCCCAGGCAGGCACCTGGCTCAGTCATAGGGTTTCCTTCTGTCAGTCTGGCACACAGTAGGGCCACATACCCAGCACCAGCACTGTTCAGTTGGATTTTTATGGTCATTTCAGGGGCAGTCACCCTGTAGGACCCTATTGAGCCCTACTATGTACTGTTATCTGTCAAGCATGAAGATCTAGCAGCTAGAAGGACACAGCAGCTGCCCAATTAAATCATATTCCATGTGTGAGCATTTTGTGAGCAAGATAATAAGACATACAATTACAGGTAAATGTTCCTCATGTGACACAGATAATCCTTTTTTTGTCAATACATGTTAATATCTCACAAATGCATAGAATAATCCTATAAGAGAAATTCTATTTTCACATGTTATGTGGCATTGTGGGTTAATGTCCTGGAATGCAAAGTCGGTTTGAACTGCAGGGTTGGTGGTTCAAGCTTATCAGCCATTCCTTGGAAACCCTATACAAGGTCACTATGGGTCGGAACCAACTCTGTGGCACTTAACACACTTAACTAGTGTGTTAGGCGACTTTTCCAAGCTGATAATTGATGGCTGTACCAGATTGCCTTCTGAAGGACTCAGATTATTTTTGCAGTCTTATTGGGTAGAACAAAGTGGCATTTACACTAGACCATGAAGACTGCGGGGTGGGGTGGATGATTGGAAAGGAAAAGCTGAGAAAGAAAATCACATGTACAGCTACAGGCAGATTGCGGGGGTGGGGGGTTAGGTAGTTGAAGCTCACATTGCCACTCAAAAAAAGATGCTGTATGTTTGTTATAGCCGTGTTTACATTGTAACACCTTAGGGAGAACTCACCAAACTCAAAAAGTATCCATTTGTGAAAAGAAAAGCTTGTATAAAATACAGTGTTTCCTCTGTGAGGGTAGGGGTAGGGGGAAAACCTCTTAGGTGTGTAAACGATGTAACCAAGACATGCTTGAAGGAAACATTTTTCAGAAGGAAGTAATATTGCTATATAGTCTCTGTCACAAGAGAAGTTGTGAAAAGTGTGTGCTAAGAGTGTATGTATGTATATAAAAAGTAAGGGAGAGTTGTGATTAAGAGCAGGTTTCTAAGGATATGTGTTTTGAGGCCAGTTCTTGGTAATGCAATGGTTTAAGCACTTGGTTGCTAACTGAAAGATCAATATTCTAAACCTACCAGCTGCCCCATGAAAGAAGGATACGGCAGTCTGATTTGGTCAAGATTTACAGCGTTGGAAACCCCATGGGCAGTTCTACTCTGTCCTGTAGAATCACTATGCATTGGAATCGATTTGATGGCAATGAATTTGGATCTTGGTTTTTATTCCGTCACTTGAAGTGTCTGGGTGGTGAAAATGGTCATTTGCTCAACTACTAACCAAAAGGTTTGTGGTTAAGTTTTTTTGATATGCTTGCATTGCAGTGGGATTCCATTCAACTGAGTGAAGGCTAAAGTCCCAAGGCTCTGGTCTAATCTGGACTGTCATCACCCTTTTCGTCAAACATGTATTAAGGAGCCCTGTCAGACTGCTCTCTTCTCTGAGCTTATGACCATGGTGGTGAAACAGACTTTAGTCACATCTCTGAAAGTCACTCAGGCCGTACTTGGACACTCTATCATTTAAGACTCAGGCTATAGGTTTCTCAAGAGCTTTTCTATCCCTGTCCCCATGTGCAACAGACCTTCCTATGCAATGGCAGGTTACATGTCCTCCCCAGCAGGAGGACACTGGCTTCTGTCAGGGGAACTGGGCCTGGAGGTGGAGGGGCAAACCTTCACAAAGGGCTCTTTGTTACGGCAGCACCCACAGTGGCCAGAACTCCTCTGGGGCCATCTCTTCCCACGTGCTGAGGGGACATTGGCAATGGTCCAACCCATGCTGGAAATGAAAAATGAAACCCGATGGCCTAGATGTTGAGGCTGGTAGTAAAGAGTTCTCAGTTCTCGTTTACTGGGGCTAGACAGTAGCAGTCTCCAAACAGTTCATGTATTATGTGAGAATGCCATCTGAATCCCTGGGCAGTTCTGTGCCAGTGTTCTAAATGACAGGTGGAGCCTTCTCCTGTAACCCACAGCCTTGCTTTGGGGATTGCTGGGTGGCTTTCGTTCAGACCTGGCTGTTGGGCACAAGGAGACCCTGGCTTTGCTTGGAGCAGCTGTGGCCATGTTGTTAAAGCTCTTCCTTTTCCAGGAAGTTCATAGGTAGGTGGTTTTCAAACCTTTTCCAAGGAGGTCCATCAGGCGTGGGGTGGGAGGCAGAGTGAGCAGGACACCAGGTTCCATCCTGGTGTCCATGAGATGTGGAAGTGTGGGACTTCTCCCTGCTACCCAGCTCTGGAATTCAGGGAGACTTTGGCTGAGGGCTCAGGTGGCCCCTTCAAGTCTCTGGCTTCTCTGGTCTGAGAATAGCTGCCAGGGACCTGCTTCTCCATTCAGGCTACCTTGGGGCCCTGATTCCCCTTCTGGCCTGTTCCAGAATGAGGCAAGAATGAAACCCATTGAGATTGACCCAGCAATAGTGTTTTCTCAGCTCAGTTTAGAGACACCTGGCTGCCCTGCAGTGACCTCTGAACTCAGCAAGGTTGATGGTCAATCCTTTTTTTTTTTTAAGTTTTTATTATGGTCAATGTTTGTTGAAGCTGGGAATGTGGGTATGAGGTGCTGGCGCCCTCACCCTTGGATAGAGTCTGAGGGAGATGTTCAATAGCTTCCTGTGGACTCTGACTTCTCTCTGACTAGTAGACTTTGCCTCTGCTAAGGTACACCTTGGTAAAGGATCGGGTGGTGTTTTGTTCTGTTGTGCATAGAGTCACTATGTCGGTACCAAATTGATGACAACCTAACAACAAGGTACACCTACTATCCGCAGGAGCTTGGGTCTAAGAAATCAGGAACTCTGATTGCCACAGACCTCAGTTCTCTGTCCTGGGTGGCCAGAACAATCTCTGTCAGGCCCAGACACCTTCCAGAGGGCCAGGGACCCTACAGAGCTGGGTTCTCGGGCAGACTGCTCTATACCCTGAACTGTGGGGATTGGGTCGCTGGGGTGATTTCTATCAGCAAATGTGTCTGACTGATGGAGCTACACACTGTTGGGGCTTGTTGCTTAGATGTGGCTACATTCATGGCTTGGATGTGATCTCTGAAGGCTGCACAACTGGTCAGGGAAGTGTGGTCATCTAGAGAACTTCCTCTCTCGGGCTATCTTACTTAGCACTTTTTCCTCGTTTAAAATTATTAAAGTGTTAAACTACTACAGCTTCTTAAGACTGTAGTTTGAATACCATAAAGTTACAATGATGTTTAGTAAATTTGTAATGCTGTGTGTAGGATATATCTTATTGAATATTCCATACTATTATCCAGTTTTGAAACTCAAAAAAGTTGTTGTAGATTCTGACTCAGATGACCCCAAGTGTGTCAGAGTAGAACGGCGCTTCATAGGATTTTCAGTGGTTGGTTTTTCAGAAATGGATCGCTAGGACTTTCTTCCCAGGTGCCTCTAGGTTGGTTTAAAACACCAACCTGTTGATTAGTAGCTGTTTATAAGACCCAAGGACATTTCTATCACTCCTAGAAAGATCCCTGGTGCCCATTTGCAGTCATTTCCCATTCTTTTCCCAATTCCAGGCAACAACTAACCTACTTTCTGTCTCTATAGATATACCTTTTCTGGACATGTCCTATAAATAGAATCCTACAAAATGACATCTTTTGCATCTGGCTTTTTTTTTTACTTAGCATATTGTGCCTAAGAGCTATTTATGTTGTAGCATGAATGGGTAGCCTGTTGTATGGCTATATACCACGTTTTGTTGGTATCCGTTCTCTAGTTTTTCTATCATTTTACTTTTGCCCTAGCTCTGCTGCTGATGGGCTGTGTGACCTTGGGCAAGTCTTTTCTCCTCTATGGTCTTTAGTGGTGCCATCCTCAAAATGAGGAAAAGGTTAGACTCGGTTTCTAATACTAATAAGATAAAATGTTTTCTGAGCAATTGCTATTTACTATGCATTCTGACAAGCTCTTTACAAACTCATCACCTCACTCAGCTAGGTTTTATTATTTCCTCCATTTTTACAGTGAGGAAGCTAAGACGCAAAGAGATCAATCACTCAATACAAAGGTGAAAAATCAGTGAATGCTATTTATTGCTCATGATTTAGGCATGTTGCATTGGATGATCATGAGGATACTCAGAAACAAACAAACAAAAAATGACCAAACTACTACAGAACTGCCCCACTAAAAGCTACAAGGCTAGCAAAAATGTGAGAGGGACCTAGCTAGATCAGATAAGATCTATATCAGAAATAATTCATGACTTGGTATAAGGACCAAACACAAAAAATGAATCCCTCTTATTAGCTCATGGACCAGCACTGCTAAGGCATGGAGCTTATTTGAGATGCTAAAGAAAAAGCAGGACTAGATTCTGATATGGCCAATGCCCAGATTGTATAACACCCTGCTTCATCCTCAGTGTATCATGGATGTTAAGCTTCTCATGACAGTATAACATCAGAATTGCTAACGTGCCTTTGAGTTGGTCCCAACTCATAGTGACACCTGTATAGGGTTTTCAAGGCTGTAAATCTTTATGGAAACGAAAGCTTCAGCCTCATCTTTCTCTGAGAAGTAAGTTTGACTGGTGGGCTCAAACTGCCAACTTTGTGGTTAGCAGTTCAGTGCTTACCTTACAGTGCCACCAATGCTCTCAATATATATAATAATATAACAACAACATCATAATAGTAATAAATAAAATGCACCACTATCAGGAGCCCTGGTGTAGCACTGTATTGGATTGGTAACTGGTAACTAGCTTTGGGTTTGAAACCTATATAGAGTTGCTATGAGTCAGAACAGACTCAACGGCACACAACCACCAGCACCACCACCATGAGACACTATTGTTGAGTTGTTTCTTACACCTACCTTATAGGACAGAGTTTACCTGCTCCTTTCGGTTTCTGAGATGGTAAATCATCATGAGGAAAGCCTCATCTTTCTCCCGTGGATTGGCTTGTCGGTTTGAACCACCTACATTGCCGTTAGAAGCCCAGTGCTTAAGCCACACTAGCAAAATTAAAATGATACCTTTAAATTGAACTTACAATAGTGCATGCAGACAAAACCATGTGATTCGAAGCATCATTGCAATTGGGTAACAATGACAGCTCTGACCGGAGCACATTTAAGTTGTTAAGTGCTGTATGTTTGCAAGGAGCAGTTGGTAGGTTTGAACTGCCAACCTTGTGGTTAGCAGCCCAGTGCTTATCCTATAGGACTCCTTAGGAGATTCAAGAAATAAATCCACATAGAGGTTTAACCCTGTCACTATACTGATGTGTGTAAGCTGGCCTTACGAAAATTATTTTTGTTGTTCTAACTCTAGGGATCTTTTTATTTAAAATAATTTCTGCTGAAACACTGCACACAAACTTTTATTGACAGTCATTTTTGTGTTAGTCCCTCTGACATTGTCACCTGGTACAATCTACATCCCTGTATGCGCACACATACACACACACGGGACACTACAGGTCAGGCTCAGAAGCTACAGGCTCAGTGCGCTTTGGGCACCAAAATAATTTGCCCTTTGTGCTCAGCACTTTACCATTTATAGTCTTATCTCTATTCTTCCCTCTCACCTGCCCATGGCCCGTAAGGGGATCACAGCCCCCTTCTGATGAGGAGCTGGAGGCACAGGTTTGGTGTTGGTTCTAAAGCATGGGGGCCCGGGCTCTTCACATACATTATCTCGCTGGATCCCCCATTACAAGTGGAGAAGCTCAGCCTCAAAGAGGTCACTTTGCTCTTGAGTAGCACAATCCATATTGTCTGTTTTCCTTGGGTTTGGAGAAAGTGTTCTACTTTTCAACTTCTGATCTCTCTCCATGGGTGACCTTTTCCCTTCCCGCTCTGGTACACCATTTCTCCTGATCCCTTCCCAGTGGGAATGTCACTCCGAAGTGAAAGGGACAGGTAGAGCCCTAGCACCTGTCTTCCTCTTGTATCCTTGGAGAAGCTGACCCACTGTGCACCTGCATTTCCCCCTACCTTTCTTCATAGTGGGGATGACTTTAGAAAAACTGGTCACTCAGGGACAGGGCTGTCCTCAAAGGCAGGAATGACCAGTACTGACTGGGATGTTCTCCAAATCAAGTGAAGCTTCGCACTGGGGACATGGGTCCGAAAAAGGGTCCTCGTTTATGTTTCCTTGCCTCCCTCTTTCAGGTGTAGTGTCTTTTTCCAGTGACCAGGAATTCATAGAAAAGTTAAGTATGAGATTGAGATGATTGTGTGCCAAGAATGTGTGTACTAAACCAGCATGGACAGTTCTCTGGATTTCTCCACTAACACGTCTGCATTGGGCGTGACTTACCCCTAACCTGGTAGGGACGCCAGCTGGAGGGAGGAGCAGGGAGGTACCCAACTCCAGATGTGTTGCATGTGTCCTTGGGTTTAGTGATGGGCTTGTTTCATTGTGAAGGGCCTCAAGGAGAATAGGGTTAGCTGCGGCAGAGGGCTGAGTTTCAGCCCCAAGACAGACATCGTAACAAAGCCACGAGGACCAGAGGACTAGGGTTTAGCCAGGAATGACATCATGCTCTAGTATGTCCAACCTCTGGCTCCCGTTCCAAGGGCCAAGAGTTGGGTTAATCTCTCAAGTGGGTCCTAAGAGACCTGAAAGCATCTCACCTATAAAGTACAATGTTTGCATTTTCTGTTATTGATTCCTTTGCCCAGTAGCCATTCAGACAGCTGATTATGTGATTATTATTAGAGCAACAGGCTAAGAAAGAGTGGGGAGCCCAGCCCCATTATGCCAGTTACAGAGGGGCATGTTCATGCTCTGGATTTTTATTTTTACATGGTTGTAGCCTATGTAGAAGGTGGGATTGTGTGCTCTGATTTTTACATTCTGCACAAAAGCATATTTCCAAGTGGCTACACCAGTCCTCAAAAGGCCAGTAATGCTATTGGAAAGTTGAAAGGCCAGATTTTCAGTCTATAATCCTGTGTGCTGTGGCTGCTGGGAGCTATGATTCTGTGAGCCCAGTCCTTCACAGCCTGCTCCATGGCCCTGAGGTACAGCACCCCCAGGGGCTGCTCACAAGTGGACAATGCTGGGGGCAGCCCCACTGGGAAGTAGTAACTCATTGTCAGAGACCTAGTCAGCCCGAGCCCCTTCCCCCGCTCACTGAGTCCTGAGACTCCTGGGAGCTGTGAGGTGGAAATGGGACTGTAGCCACCTTCCACCCTCTGACCTCAGGCTGGGTCTAGGGAGCTTCCTTGCTCTCAGTCAGGCCTAGGTGTGCTGTCTTTCCTGGACCCCTCTTTCCTTCTTGCTCCTGATGTTTCCATTCCATGATTCTCAGATTCTGGGCTGGTGATCCTTAGGAGGGTGGAGAGTATGACAGTCCACAGGACTTAGCAGCTGGCCCAGACCCCAGGCCACCAGCAGTGGCTTCCTGGAGTCCCTGTGCCCTTTCTAGGCAGCCTCTGTGTGGGGGCTGAGGTGAGGCTGCAGGCCGGGAGCAGGACCATGATGCACATATCCTCTTCTTTCTGGGTTGTAGCCACCCCACGTCATGCTGCAGTGCCGCGGAGATCATGTCTGTCCTCTTTTTCCACACTATGCGCTACAAGGCCCAGGACCCCCGCAACCCTCACAACGACCGCTTCGTGCTCTCCAAGGTAAGAACCCAGCCAGCCCACCACTAACTGTGGGCCCTGGGAGCTAGAGAAGGTGCTAGCAGCAAGTGACCTGAAGGACCCCACCCCAATGCTAGCCCCTCCCTTCAGTGCCATGCCGAGGAGCTTAACCTGAGTTAAACTCCATACATGACTTTCTTGTCCTTGAAGCTCAGGTATGTTCACTAGCCCGTAACCCAGAGGAATGGGGTGGGGTGGGGTCAGTCAGGGTTAGAACTCGAATCCAGGACTGGGTCCCTACTTTGTGACTTCCACATGTGTCTTGCTATGTCGTTACCAATACTCTTTAAGGTCACGGCTTCCTTGAGAAGTGGTGGTCCACTGCAGCAGGTCTTGGGTGGATGGCACCCCTGCCCTCCACCTCCTCCCATCTAAGACTCACAGCCATAAACTGTGCTGCATGGCCTCCTGGTGCCCCGAAAGCCACCTGTACCCAGGCCTGGCTCTGTGGCTTCTGGTCTCTTGGGGCATTAAAACTTAGAAGCCTGTCCAAGTCCTTAACATGCCAGAAACCACGGATTAGTGTGGCCGCCTGCCGGCTAGGCTTTGGACCTTACCCACCATCCCAGCTGTGCCCCTCTGCACCTGTCCTAGTGCGGCCTGGCCTTGGCTGTGGGAATTTTGGGCTGAAAACCAAGAGGATTTCACTTGCTTCCTCCCCTGAAACAGATACCCTGACCAGCCAGCTCTGCTGAGCCCTGAGTTTCGGTGTACAGTGGGAACAGCCCCTGGTATCCGCTCCTTGTCTGACCCCTGCTTTTCACCCTCTGTCCCCTGCAGGGCCATGCAGCTCCCATCCTGTATGCAGTCTGGGCAGAAGCTGGCTTCCTGCCCGAGGCAGAGCTGCTGAACCTGCGGAAGATCAGCTCCGACTTGGATGGACACCCCGTCCCGGTGAGTGCACCCCACCATGGGGCCATGGGCTCTGTTGACACTTCCTGTTTCCCAAGGCTTTGGGGAGGGGAGGGGGTGCCTGGTGAGAAGCTGAAGGTGTTGAAAGGCGGAGAAGGGCGTGGAGGTTAGGAAGGAAAGACCTGTTTTAGGGCATGTTGAATTTAACCCGAGCTGGTGTTGAAGGACAGGGCCTTTTGAGGTCCCAGACAAGGGTGTTCTGGGTCACCATTAAAGAAGCCTCTTCCCAAGCACCAACCACCCAGCATCCCTTCCCCACAGGGCCTCTCTGACCACTTAGACAAGCTCAAGAAGTCATCAAGGAGTCAATGTGGGGGTTGTAGCAGGACACCAATGACCCCATAAGGAAGGTGTCCATTTGCTCTTCAGGTGGCAGCTGGTGTTGCTGTGAATGTTTGGAGTTCTGGGTTACAAAACAAAACCGTCATCCACCTTCGCACCCACTAGGTTTTATGGTAGTTTTGCTAGGCATTCTGTGAGGTGGGCAGTGTGGACTCTGTTTACAGTTAAAGAAACAAACTCAGAAAAGCTCAAGTCCCAGTCTGAGATCACACAGTTTGCTAATGGACAGAGTTGGGATTTGAACTCACCATTAATAAATACCACAATAGCTGTGATATGAGAATGAGAACTCAACATCCTCAGAGCCTTCCTCAGGTCTCACTTCCCCCAGAGCCTGCACCCTGATCTGGATAGGGTTCTGGCTTTGATAGATGGCAAGACCAGGGCCCAGGAGGTGAGTAGGGAAACACACTGCTCCCTCTCTCCCCTGTGAGTAACTGTTGCCCTCTGTTGTGACAGAAACAAGCTTTCACCGATGTGGCCACTGGCTCCCTGGGCCAGGGTCTGGGCGCTGCTTGCGGAATGGCCTACACTGGCAAGTACTTCGACAAAGCCAGGTAAAACCTTCCCCATGCCCACTGTAGATAGTTTTGAAAGGAGTCCCCAGTGACCCCTTTAACTGTGATCCCAGACACCTCCTCTCACCTCAGCTGGGACTGAGAAACAGGCATGTGTGGCCTGCTTTGTCCTTAAGAGACCCCACTGATGCTGGTACATGACCAGCCCTTTTCCAGATGAGGAAACACACTCACAGGAGTTAAAGGACTTGCTGAGGTCCCGTGATAGTCTCTGGTGGGCACCTAGATCTCGTGCTCCTGACTGTGCTGTTTTGCCAGACCTCGAAAGTCTTAGAAGGCTTTCCCCTTCTCATGTATGGCTAAATGTCAGCCCTATTTTATGAAATGAAGGCTATGTGTTTTAGAGGATTTAGGACATCCCTGAGCCACCTCCTTCAGGCAGTCAGGAAAGAAGAAACAAGTGTTTTAAGAGATTGAATCTGTAGGGGGGGCGGGGGTGAGTAGCTTGACCAGAGAGGTCTGCTGCTTCTGCATCAGGTGGTTTGTAGAAGAACCCTACTGAGGGAAGTGTGGCCAGATCTGTCCTGCAGGTGTAGGGGAAAGAGTTCCATGTTAGAAAACAAACCACTTAGTCCATTTACAGACTTTACAAATAATATTTTATATAGAAATCTGGAGATCAGAGCAAGGTAAACTGGAATGATTCCTTCCTTTCTCTGTTAGGGTGGGCAGAATCTGTGCTTACATGCTTTATCAGGCTTTACCTGTTAGTTGTTGTCTGCCTGGGTTGTCTGGCTGTGGTTGGGGCAGGATTGTTCAGAGCCGAGTTTGATTGCTCTGTGAGGATGTGAAGGAAGCATCGGAGGTATAGGGGACCCTGAGGGTGGGACACTTCCTAGAGGTGGAGAGTCTTTGGAGCCAGGTCCACAGAATGTGAGAGCAGGGCACCCAGTGGACAAGGAGCTCCAGCGCCCTCCCAGCAGCAGGCAGCTTCCCTGCTGTCTACATGTAATTCTCTTTGGGCCAGAGCCAGGCTGTCCTAGAGGTGACCAGATCCTCCAAGGATAGGTGGCTGCAGGAAGAAGGGAGCACGTACTGTGTGCAGGTACTGCTGGACCCGCCCAGGCCAGCATGACCTGGCAGCATCATCGAGCACTCTCTCTCTCTTGCCCCCTGGCTGAGCTTTGAGATGTGCTCAGCTACACTCAAAAGTGGTTCACTGTGCCCTTTGGTTGGTTGATGATGCATGGAGGGGATTGGAACCATGGCAATGAAATGATATACGATGGAATGAATGTAAAACTAAAGTTCTCTCATGTAAACTATCATATAATTCACAATAAAACATTAAAAAAAAAAAGTGGTTCACTGTGAAGCGAAGAGAGAAAAGCACAAGAATGGGATGTGTGTAGAGGAGCATTTTATATGGCACAGAACCAGAGATAGGAGTTAATCATTCCCTGTGAAGGGTCACTTCCTGATCCGCACATAATGGAACAAGCTAGTATAAGGAGGAGTTTAGCTGGGTTCCCAGCAGCCAGCATGGCTTGGGGCCAGGGTAGTTAGAGATGGTGATACAGGGGATTATCAACTGGGCCAGGCACCTGGGTGGTGGTGCCTTGATAGAACATCACCATCACACCCAACCATCAACCAAGGACAGTGCCCAGTGCCTCCTTTTCATGTTTCTTTTAAAATATATACATATTTCTAATTGCAAAACACCTACCTACACATTTGTAAAATACAAAAAGATACTAAAAAGAATGAACATTTCCCTTATTTTTAACCTCCTCCCAACATTAATTAAATCTCACTAACAGTGTATTCTATATCCTTCATATTTTACCTAAAAAACAATTTACAGACTTGTAATCATAATATACAATTTTGTATTCTTCTAAAAAACACCTGAACATTCTGTCAAACCATATTCCCTGTAACATTAACTTTTTTTTTTTAATGATTGCATAACATTTTGGGATTTTGTTTTCATTTTAACTGTTCATTGTGAATTGAGTGAAGGTTTACAGAGCAGATCAGCAAATGTTCAGTTTTACAGGCATACTGTAACTCATTTAGCCAGTTCTCTGTTGGGAATTTAGGTGGTTTCCAAACAGTTCTACAGCAAACCTCTATTTAGGGTTCCTTCTCTTCATCTGGGCAGTACCTGAGTGGAACAAAATTGTCCCATGCATTTAGCTGCTAACTAAAAGGTTGGAGGTTCTAGTTACCCAGAAGCACCTTCGAAGAAAGTCTTGATTTTCTTCTTCAACTTTAGCAACGAAAACCTTATGGAGTATAATTCTACTGGTGCCAATGAGAAATGACCCAACAGCAGCTAATTTTTCTCTTCATGACTGTGGGCATTTGCAGCCTCTCCGCCATAAAATCTTAACAGCTCCAAGGAACAAGAGTCTGAAGGTTAGCCAGACTTCTGTGAGGGGGCACTTCCTGTTCACAACTCCTTCCCTGGGTCAGAGCATTCCTCAGGACTCACAGGATGCTCTCGTGACCTGAGCTTACTCTGAGACCCTACTCTGCACTCAGCCCAGCCTCACTTTCCCGGAACTGGGTGTGGAGTTGGGAAGACAGCCAATCTTTCTTGGGGGAAATTACATTCCCTGCAGGCGCTGCCCCAGCCCAGAGCCCCTCCAGTTTCAGATAATCCTGGGTCTGACAGCCTGTGGAGTGTGGACCTTGGGGCTTTTTCCTGGCCAGGCATCCTAGACCTCTGACCTGGCCTGGTGGTAACCACAGAATGGAAAGTGCCCGATCTCTCCCTCCTGTTCCCTGCTACAAGGGACTACTACTACTAGACTACTGAACCTGCATCCCGGTCAGCAGGAGGACAGCTCTTTCCCTTTGAGCTTCTTAGAGCCAAGCAGCTAGACACCAGATAGGGAAAAGGAGGGTCCTCAGGCCTGCCTGCTCCTCTCCATACCTGCATTCCTAGACAGAGCAGCAGTTGGGCAATCAAACTATGGTTGTATTCCAGCTCAGCCACTTCCAGAATGTTAACAACAACAAACAAGTTGCCTGAGTCAAGTCAAACACCATGTGTGTCATATTAGAACTATGATCCTTAGAATTTTCAGTGGTAGTTTCTTCTTAAAAGTAGATCACCAGACCTTTCTTCCAGGGCTCCTGTAAGAGACACCTCTGGTTAGACTTGAACCTCCAGCGTTTCAGTTAGTAACTGAGTGTATTAACTGTTTGCACCACCCAAGCACTCCATTGTTTACTCACTGTGTGATTTATCCTGAGCTCATTTATTTTTACCATGTCACACTGCCTTTAGAAAGAGCATGCTTGTCTTTGACCTATGGGAATAAAGAGTAAGGAAAGTGCCAGACCCAGCCTTAGTTATTGGAATGGGAGCCAGCTTTGGAGCCTTGGGGAAAGCCAGTCTGTGAAGCATCTGATTGCCCCAGTGACCTTGGCCTTGAAGTTCCTTCATTAGTAGTGTTCATTCACCACCTGGAAGCCACTGCTCTAGGCCTCTGTCCCCTGGGGGCTCTTCTCCTCCAAGCAGATGTGGGCTTCAGAGCCTCTTTCCTCTGCCCCGTCCGACACTCCTGGTTCCTGGGTGGCTGGGGAGAGAAGTGGCCCCGCCCCTTGCTGCAGGCACAGTGCAAGGAGCTTGCTCTTTCACCCACTCTTCCTCACTATCCTCTTGTCCTTGCAATTCCCGCTTCTCTTATTTTGTTTATTGACCATATCCACATTAATTCAGAGCTGTTTCTCAGAAGCCAGGGCCGCTTTCTTGAGTGGACTTGGGATAGGCAGCAGATATTTGAACACACTGCTACCCCTGTTGTGTAAATGCTGTCTGTCCTTCATGTTTTTGTGTATCCGCTCCTCTTGCCCAATGAGCAGACCTTTTGAAAGGATGGGGCTGGGAACACAGTGGGCCCAGGTGAGAGGGACCCGCCTCAGCCCTGCCCTGTCTGCCCACAGCTACCGCGTCTACTGCATGCTGGGAGATGGAGAGCTGTCAGAGGGCTCTGTGTGGGAGGCCATGGCCTTTGCCGGCATCTACAAGCTGGACAACCTGGTTGCCATTCTTGATATCAACCGCTTGGGCCAGAGTGACCCAGCCCCACTGCAGCACCAGGTGGACATCTACCAGAAGCGCTGCGAGGCCTTTGGGTATGTACAAGGCTGGGGTGAGCATGATGCACAAGCTGAAGCTGAAGCTTAAGCCTCAGACTTTTTGATTCATTAATTCAGACCTTGGCTGTTTGTACTTAAAAGGAGTAGCTCACTTTCCTGGGTGCTTGGATGTGGGGGGTGGGGTGAGGGGAGGGAGAGGAAGGGCAGGGAATAGACACAGGAGAGTTTGGGTGCTAGGGAGGGAGACAATATACAAAAGGGGGGAGGGTATTGGAAGAACAAAGCAGATGGGAGAACAATTAGGCAGGTTTGCATGGGCTAAGGGGGACAGAGGTAAATAATGATGTATGCACAAGCTTAGAACAACAGGGCTCTGGGATACAGGGATTAAGACATGGTTGGAATGGGGAAAAGGGGGGAAATACTGTTAAGATGTCTTGGCTGTCTTTTGAATCTTGGTTTCCCTGGCATACCATTATAAAATAGACACTGGAGGGGGAGAGAAAGGAATAGCCAGAAATATCACCATAGAAAGCTTGTAAGTCCATTTTTTGCCTGTAACTGATTAGAATACCTAAAATGGGGCTACACCGTGCCCAGTGAAGGAGGCTTCCTATGGAACCTGTATATTACATAAGACCATAGGTGGAATTCTGAACAGCATCCAGAATCTTCAGAGGTGGGAAATTTCCACTTGAAAGGACAAGCAGACCAGCCTGGAGCAGCTAGGAGAACACAAGATACTTCTCTAAAGAAAGACCGACAGGAAAAATACAAAACAGTATAGGCAGACCAACTGATTACTACAAGCACAAGCAAGTTGCTCGCCCAGGATACATCAAGGCAAGTGGTCGGGTCCCCTATGAGCAAACCCCCTTCCAAGACTAAGACTCAATGAGAGTACACACTCTGATTGGTGACCACGTTCATCACTGGTAAGGGGAAGTGAAGGAAAAACAGCAATGAAGCTGTGAGCTAAGCTCTACAACATTCAATAGACTCCTGTGAACCCAGGTGGAGACCTGGTTGGCCAGCAGTGTGGCAAGACCTGCGGACTCTTGGGCCCAGAGTCAGTGACATAACCACAGAGGACTAGAGTGGAGAGGGAAGCATCCAGCTAATAAGAAGAGAGGGCACATGCACAAGAACACCCACACTTGCAGATAATACCCACTTGACCTGGCTTCAATGACTGGATGATCAGAGCTCAACTAGAAGAAGAAAGACGAGGAAAAAAAGAGTAATTTGATACAATTTGATTAACTTAACCTACACCTATGGATGCAATAGCTCAAAAGGAGGAACAAATCTTTACATCAAGGATCATTCCCACCCCCTCCATACACAGAGTAGCCAACTTGGACATTGGCTACCCAAAATGGGGGGTGGAAGTGCTACAAAAGTAAGAAGTAACTGGCTTACAAGCTTTCAAGAGGGAACCTAGATCCAGAAGGCATGGAGGAAGGTAGAATCTCCACTGAGTAGTATCTAATATGTCTAGGCAGGGCTGATGAAAGGAAATGCAGATAGGTCTCTTGTGATACAATAGTGGATAATTGTTATCAGGACTGATTGTGAGGGTTGGAAATGTAAAGGCAGATGTTTTATAGCAAGGAGGGGAGTGATTAACTTTGTAGTCTAGGAGCGGAGGTCCCTGGGACCATCAAGGGAGAACAGAGAGCGGGACCCACCTAGAGAAGCAGTGATGCCAGAGATGGAGGCAGAGACAATGATATGGAGAGATGGAGCAGCTGGGGACTTTAGAAAGTAGTAGCTCAGGCCACCACCATGGAATTGTGCACTGAGGCCCAGTTAAGTGAGTTTCTTGATTCAGGTAAACCATGGCTGTGTGGCATGATAGTTCTCAGAGCTACTACATAGCTCTGTCTCACGTACCCTCACTTTGCTCCTGTGTAAGGAAGGTGGAGTCACACAGGTGTGATTCTGCTTTCAAGCTTTTGACTTGCTCAGTGACACTAACGGACCTGTAGTGATTGAGAGATTTGAACATCACTTGATGGCTAACTTGGCCAAGGAGGTGAGACTGGCTGGAGTTGTGATGGGACTTTGAGGGCCTGAGGCCTTCAAGGCCACCCTTAGTGTTTGGATTGAGGCCTGAAATTACACAGCTGACTCTGACCATCCTTTAAAAGGGAGAGGATGAGGAAACTGAAGCCCACAGGAACTCAAGGACCTCCTGAGAGCTCATTGAGCTGGGGACTTGGAGTAGAACCTTGACAATGCTTCTGGGGCAAGGTTCCCTGAAGTTAAGTTCTACCAGTTACTAGCTTTGCAGTCTTGGGCAAGTAACTTGACCATCAGTCTCCTTTGATTTATCTGTAAAATGGTATCAATGACAAAGCCTAGCTGCTGTAACTGTTGTTGTTTAGTGTCATCGACTTAGTTCTGACTCATAGTGACCCTGTATAGGATTTCCGAGTAACGGATGGTGGGTTCGAACTGCCAACCTTCTAGTTCACAGTTAGGTGCTGATCCTACAGCACCGCATCAGGACTCCTTCTGAAGCTGTTGTTAGGTGCCATCGAGTTGGTACCGAAGACTGCACAGAAGACTGAAATACTGCCCGATCCTGGGCCAACCTCACTAGTGTTGCCACGCTTGAGTCCATCGATGCTGCCACTTGGCCAATCCATCTCGTTGGGGGTCTTCCTGTTTCTCTGACCCTCCACCCTACCAAACATGATATCCTTCTCCAGTGACTGGTCCCTCCTGACAATATGTCCAAAGTATGAGAGACGAAGTTTGGCCATCTGGGCCTCCAAGGAGCATTCTGGATGCACTTCCGCAGTGCTTAAATGGGTTTAATGAGTGTTAGAGTGCTTTGTACATACAGTGTACATACTCAGTATATATTAGCTGTTGTTTTTTATTATTAATACTTCAAGGACAGTCCCAAAAAGGATCACTTTAAGCAGAACAAGTCCCCTTTCCCAGCAATTCTTCTCTTAAGATGTTTAGCAACCCATAACCCATGAAAGTTGTAGCACTACACCCTAAATAAAAATCTGGCCAAAAGGGTCATCAAGACTATAATAGCATACAGATCCCAAACCCACTACATTGTCCCAAAAACAGCTTACAATAGGAGATTAGTAGATCAAGAATAAAATAACTAAATTTAGGAACTAAACCTAACAATTGGTTAATCTAGGAAAGAAGAAAAATCCTTTCTCTGAGAGGAAGTGAAATAATATGAAAAGAGACAGAAAGGAAAACGAAAACCCACATCAGAAACAGAAAAGCGTTGGTTGGGCCACCGAATGCCTCCAGCTCTATTCCGATCACAAGCTATGGGATTGAGTGAGGGCCGACCCTCAGATGCCAAGTTAGACCTTGCCTGGGATGCTCCCTCAGGTCCCCTGGCATTGCCTCTTCCAGCTGTGCCTTCACAATGCCATTCTTCACCTTTCTGTCCCCAGCTGGCATGCTGTTATCGTGGACGGGCACAGTGTGGAGGAGTTGTGCAAGGCCTTCGGCCAAGCTAAGCACCAGCCAACAGCCATCATTGCCAAGACCTACAAAGGCCGAGGGATTTCAGGTCAGCATTGCATGGACCTCCCCACCTTCCTCCCTGGTACTAGGACTGAGCTGACTGGAAAGAAGTTGGAGGGATTTCCTGAGATCAGAGGTCTCTGCTCATTGTGCCTTGGCTGCCTTATTGGGCTCTAGGGAATGGAGAACAGGAGATGCCATGTTCCCTGCCTTTGGGGCTCTGTGCTTGTTTGTATGCAGGGCATGCTTAGAGCGGCTACACTCTAGTGCTGTTAGGGAGTCTCTGGGTGGCGCGTATATGTAACATGCTTGGCTGCTATGGAAAGGCTAGGGGTTTGAGTCTACACAGTGTTGTCCTGGAAGAAAGGCCTGGTCATTGACTTCTTGGAAATCAACCACTGAAAGTCCTATAGAACCCTGAGTTCTACTGTGACACACATGGTGTTGCCATGAGCTAGAATTGACTCAGTGATGGCATCTAGTTAAGGATTGTGGGAGGTGAGAGAGGCTGCCTTGAGGGATAGAAAAGCCAATGGGAACTTGAGTTGAATGGCTGTCTATGTGTCAGACAGACCCTGTCCTTATCTCAGATCCTCCCATAACCCTGCAAATGAGGGAGAACACAGGCTCAGCAAGGTGAAGTGAGTTACTCAGGCAGCTCAGTGGTCATTGTGGCTGAGGCAGGATTTGGACTCGGGTGGAGAGCCAGCCCCCAGGAACACCTTCCTGGCCCTTCGAGAAGTTTCCCTCTGACTTGTCCTTTGCCCTCCTGTGTTGTACCTGCAGGGGTAGAAGATAAGGAGTCTTGGCATGGGAAACCCCTCCCCAAAAACATGGCGGATCAGACCATCCAAGAAATCTACAGTCTGATCCAGAGCAAGAAGAAGATCCTGGCAACGCCCCCGCAGGAGGACGCCCCATCTGTGGACATCACCAACATCCGCATGCCCACCCCACCCAGCTACAAAGTTGGGGACAAGGTACAACTTCCTGGGCTAACTAGGGGTAGGGTGGCCACAGGTCTTTGGCTTCCCAAGGCGCTGGGGTCATGATCTCCTGAAGTGGATGGGATAAGGGGCTTTGAGCTTTGACCTCCCCTGAGATGGGAGGTGGTGATTCACTTAGGGTACAGGGTGAGGAGGGGGTCCCCGAGGTATTGCTCCTGCCAGCTCTCCCTCATGGGGACAGCCAGCTCTGGAATTATTTACCTTTGAGGTAGAGGCTCAGAGAGGGCAAAGGACTTGTCCAGAGTTACACAGCAAGCTATGGACAGAATTGGGATCAAAACCCCAGATTCCTGAGTCCTGCACCCCATGTGAACACATAGATACAACTGTCTGTCAGGAGATCTGACTCCCAGGCCCTCAGTTTCTCACAGACTTCTGTCACAGGGACTGGGAATGTTGGTGCTGTTGTAACATCTGTTGAAGCTCAGACAGCTCATAGCTGGGCCAGGACAAGGCCCCTCAGGAATTCCCAAGACATCCACTGTAGAATTCTTACTTATAACCAATGGAAATGAATATCTTGACAGGACTTTGTGGTGTTGGGATTCTTTTTTTGTCCTGTTTCTGGTCTTCCCTAAATGCTGTGGGCTCCCAGAGGCTGTTAAGGTTTCTGCTGGAGGTGGCAGCAGCATCCTTAGTCTCTCCCCTCTGCAGATAGCCACCCGCAAGGCCTATGGACAGGCCCTGGCCAAGTTGGGCCATGGCAGTGACCGCGTCATTGCCCTGGATGGGGACACCAAGAATTCCACCTTCTCAGACCTCTTCAAAAAGGAGCACCCAGACCGCTTCATTGAGTGCTACATCGCTGAGCAGAACATGGTGGGTGTCATCAGGGTGGGCAGGGGTAAGGGTGGGTACAGGCAGAGGGCTGAAGTCCTTTGGGTAGCCACATTGGCAGTGCCATATGCCTACCTGGCCAGCCTTGGGAGACCAGCAATGGCATTGACCCTTGGCCTCGAGTAGTCATAGTGGGTGGGAGTGTTGTAGCCAAGTGCAGTTTTCCTGGTAAACGTACATATGGGGAGATGAGTAGAGCCACAGGTACACAGGAGTTGCAGCCTGCAGACTTGGGACGGTGGCAACTAAGATCTCGGGGGTGCTTCTAGGTAGAAGGGTGAGCACAGGAGGAGGCTCTGCTGAATGGCTTTATAAACAAGGACCCACCTACTGTCCAGAGGGATATAGAAGAGAAAACACTTGGGCCTCTGACCTGTTTATGGTTGGGGAGCAGCTCTCCCTTGTCAGTAACTGAGATGGTGAAATAAGGAAAGATGCTTTGTCCTGTATTTCATAATATCCCATCTCCTGAACAAAAAGACCACAGGGCTTACTAGGCCCCTAGGGACAGGGAGCTTCCTCCCTGTGGTGGCACCCGACTCTTAACAAGTCCACAATTTTTCCTCCAGCCTTGCCCACAGTAGGGTGAGTCCAGACTAAACTGCCAGGTGCAGGTGTCGGGGGACCCCCCCAGGTGGCAGGGGAGGAGCCTGCAGATTTGAAACAGATGGCTATGTTTTTGGGGAGGGATTTGGGGCCTGGAGCCTCAGTGAGGTTGCTGCTTTCAAATCCCGGAGCGAGCAGGGTTTGGGAGTGGAGAGAAGATGGGAGAGAGGGGAGGCCAGGAAGGATAAACCACCAGGAACCAAACTTGAGTCAGCTACATAAGGGTTTGCTCATTGCTTGATGAAAGGTTTCCCCAGAAGAATACCTTAGAGAGAGAACTTTTAAAAAAAAAACAACACAAAAAACGCTTTGTGTTAGATGACCATTTACATAACAAATTAGGTTTCCATTTAACAATTGTTATACATTTGTGTCATTTCTTGAAGTGGTATTTTTATAGTTTTCCTTGTGTAGTTCAGTTTATTTCTGGGTATTTTATCCTTTTGGAGGCTGTTACAAATGGTATTGTTTACTGGATTTTCCTTTCAGAGTTCTCTTTAGAGGACCCAACTGATTCTTGTGTGCTGATCTTGTATCTTGCCACTTTGCTGAATCCTTCCGTTAGTTCCAGTGACTTCTTTGTGTCTGGAATTTTCTCTATATAGGATCATGTCTTCCCTTACCATTTGGATGTGTGCTACTTCCCTTTCAGGCCTTCCTACTCCAGCTAGTGGTGATTCACGGCATCCTTGTTTTGTTCCCTGTCTCAAGGGGAATGCTCCCGGTCTTTCTTCATTAAGAATGATTTTGGGTGTTGGTTTTGCACACATGTCCTTAATTTTGGTGAGAAATTTCCCTTCTGTTTCTATTTTGTTGAATTTTTATCAGGAAAGTGTCATCAGATGCCTTTATTGTAGTGATGGGATGATCAGGTGACTCTTTTGCTACATGTACATGCTGAAGAACATTTTGAGGGAGTTCTTACAAGTCGAGGGAGTTTGGTGTTAGGAAACAGATTGCAGAGTCCTGAAACCACTGGCTTTGGGTGGAGGAGAATGAAGAATTTTAAGCCTACAATACTGGCCTGCTTAACCACAAAGTCAGCAGTTCAAACCCTCAGAAACCCTATCCAGTGTCCCTATGTGTCAGAACTGATTTGATGGCACTTGAGAGCAACAACAGGAAACTTACTGGGAGTCTTTGTGTTGTGCAAATGGTTAACACATTCAGCTAGCTTCTAATCAGAAGGTCAGAGATTTGAGTCCACCCAAAGCACTCAGATGAAATACGTGGTGATCTGCTTTAGAAAAATCAGCCATTGAAAGGCTTGTGGAGCACAGTTCTCCTGACACACACATGCCTCAGGTAGCCTCGAGAGGTGCTGAGCTCCCTGGCCACCTTGCCCCTTTGTGCCCCCAGGTGAGCATCGCTGTGGGCTGTGCCACACGCAACCGGACGGTGCCCTTCTGCAGCACTTTCGCAGCCTTCTTCACGAGGGCCTTTGACCAGATCCGCATGGCGGCCATCTCTGAAAGCAACATCAACCTCTGTGGTTCCCACTGCGGTGTCTCCATCGGTGAGTCTAGCTGGGCCTGGGACATTTACACCTGTAACTTCCCTCATCCTTATGGACCAGGAGTGGGTGAGGGGAGGGCCAGGATTCCATTCTGTGGATAGGAACATTTTATTTCAGCTTATCCTTTCCCACATCACAGGGGAAGATGGGCCCTCTCAGATGGCCCTGGAAGATTTGGCCATGTTCCGGTCAGTCCCCATGTCGACTGTCTTTTACCCAAGTGATGGAGTTTCCACAGAGAAGGCAGTGGAATTAGCAGCCAATACGAAGGTTGGTCAGTTACAGCTGTTGCTTGCAGCTAAGTCTTTCTCGAGGGAGACAGAGAGACCAGCAGTTCCTCCCCGGAGTGGTGTTTCCTGCCTTGCCCTGGTACTCATGTAGCCTCGAGGAAAGGCTAAATACACACCACTCAGCCTGCCATCTGACCTACTGCTAACCCATCCTCACACTCTTCCCCACTGAGAGTCTTGCTAGCCTCTGCCAATCTAGCAGTTGACACCTCTTTGTCCTCCCTGTGATGGGCTTTCTGCAGCAGAAAGAATGAGCTTAGCAGATCAAGAACAGCAGTTCAGCCTTAGAGGAGAGTGTGCTGGTTTCCATTTCTCTGCTTGAGGACATGGGGCAGGCTGATGCACTTTGGGGGAGTAGCCCCAACTAGGACTGGAGCCCCACTTGTCATCCTGAGGCTGGCAGACTCACTGGGAGATACAGTTTGCTCAGGGCAAAATGAGGTGAAGAGGTTTGCACAGTGGGATGGGGCAGCCCCTCTGGAAGACTGTTATCCTCAGTTTCTGTGTTCCTGCCATAGGGCATCTGCTTCATCCGGACCAGTCGCCCAGAAAACGCCATCATCTACAACAACAATGAGGATTTCCAGGTTGGACAAGCCAAGGTCAGTGTACTTCATGGCCCAGGGACCCCGCAGCCAGTGTCGGCCCTTGCCAACAGTCCCCAGAGCCTCACTGGCCTCTATGTCTCTCCCAGGTGGTCTTGAAGAGCAAGGATGACCAGGTGACCGTGATTGGAGCTGGGGTTACCCTGCATGAGGCTCTGGCTGCTGCCGAACTGCTGAAGAAAGGTGAACAGGGGGATCTGAAGAAGCTGACTTAGTAGCAGTAGAAACCACCCTTTGAGTGCTTACTGTGTGGCTAGCATGGTGCCAAGTCCAGGGGCTGCAGTGGCCACAGACCCTGTCAGGGCCCTAGAGTGACTTGAGATACCCACCACGGAGGTTGTGGTATCATCAGTATTGTGCCTCACTCTCCCCATCTGTACAGTTTGCTAGGGATTGTCAGGAGGATGACATAAACGTGACCTTGTGGCCCTAGCTTTCAGGTGTTGGCAGCTGGTACTGGGCAAGAGATCCATAGTGGTCACAAGGGAAGGGCTGACAAAAGGGCCTGCTCCCCTGAGCCAAACCGCCATGATTCTCCCCTCACAGAGAAGATCAACATCCGCGTGGTGGACCCATTCACCATCAAGCCCCTGGATAAAAGTCTCATTCTCGACAGCGCCCGCGCCACCAAGGGCAGGATCCTCACAGTGGAGGACCATTATTACGAAGGTAATCAATCGGGACCTGGAGCCGAGAGCTGGGGGTAGATAGGCATAAGTCAGGGGAGGGCTGGGTGCCATGGGGTCTGGACATAGCTCTCATGATCCGAGCCCCAAGAGGGTGACTGGACCAGAGAACCCTGAGCTGTGCCTTAGAGCAAGTTTCAGCCTGCCCTGGTGACACCATGCACCCTTAGCTGCTGGAATGGCCCCAGTCAAGCAGTCAGGAAGATCTCAGTCTTGCTGCTAAGAATAGAAGAGGTGGAATGTGTCCCTGACACATAGAGTTTAAGGCTGTTGTGGAATCAAACACTGAATTGCAGCCTTTTACAAGCCTTTTGCAAAGCTGCGCTCTAGAAATTTGCCTTCCTGGAAGGCCCTAGGAGAATAGATGAACTTAGACTTTAGAGTCAAGTGCAAATGCAAATTCATTGATGGTTACTCAGAGAACATGTTAAAAACTATTTAGAAGTCACATTTGGGCTTATTTTTTTCAAGTGCTGTGATTGATTAGTAGTGTCTGTTCTGACTGGTTGTGGAGGAAGATGGTATGTGTGAAATCTTTGCTATCTTCAGCTTAGGGTATAAACTCAGAGACTGGCTTAAATGACTGGGGGCCATCCATCAGCTCTGGGAACCTACCATGTTCACGTGACCCACCTCCTTTGGTTTGTCCAGGTGGCATAGGTGAGGCCATATGCACTGCTGTCGTGGGTGAGCCTGGCATCACGGTTACCCGCCTTGCTGTCAGCCAGGTACCAAGAAGCGGGAAGCCAACTGAGTTGCTGAAGATGTTTGGCATTGACAAGGACGCCATTGCCCAAGCTGTGAGGGGCCTTGTGTCTAAGGCCTAGAGGAGTTAAGGGGCACAGGGTGGGTATTCTATACATTCCTGAGAATTGTTGGCAAAGGTGCTCAAAGATGTATTGAGAAAAGTGATAAATATGTTTGGAGAAAAAAGAATTGACTCCTGGAATGCTTCCTTGATGTGATGCAGTCAGTGCTGATTGTGGGGAAAAGGGGAGAGTTAGAGGGAGGGAGACTGGCACTCAATAGTAAGGCTCCAAGCTGGAAGCCAGGCATCCCAAGGCCTCTGGAACCACATTCCCTAGACCCGACACCTGCTTCAACTGTTGAAACTACTGCTGCCTCTCAGTTAGCACCAGGTTACATTGGATTGCACCCTACTTCCAGCTGAAAAGCCTCTCCCCTCAGCCAGCCTGGTCCTGAAGGTCACAATGTAGGAGCTGTCCAGAGTCCTTCAGGGCTACTTACCCTTTTAACTGGTGACCTTGGAGAAGCAGAGTAGTCCTTGTCCTGGGGAAAAATATGACCCTGAGATTGGCATCAAAACTGCAGGTGGTGAGAGACATGAGGGACCCAGCTCCCACCTAGCTCAATAGATCGGAGGTCCTCATTCCCAAGTATGCAGAACTGCCTCCCTCACCATGTTAAAATGCAGGTTCCTGGACCCTACCACTGGGACAACTGCGCCATGAGCTTCTGTTGTCCAGCACCTGCCCACTGCCTCTGTTCCCAGAGGATTCCCTCATTCTGGTGGCTACATCGTACTTTCCCCCTGCTGCTGGGCACAGTGAACGTCAACCATGCCAGTGAGCTCTGGGCTTCCCGAGAACAAACAAATGCCAGGGAAAGAGAGCTCAGCCCTTTGTTGCTGATGGGACCCTCGGAGCCCCTGGGGAGAGTAAGAAGCATTCACACATGTGTCCAATTGATCTGACAATCTAGGCAGAACAGCCCATCAAACCTGTGTTTAGCAAACCAGAGCACACTTAGCCACCCAGCCAGGTTTGACTAATGGGCCGGGGACCTGCGTTTGGTTCAACACCAATTCCAGAGCAAATGAAGGGAAAGGTAGGTGGCACAAGCAGGGCTGTTTGCCAGGGTTTCGGCTGACGTGGCCTGTTCTCCATCTCTAGACTAGAGCTTCTAAACCCACTACTAGTGCTGTGGGAGGAGCTCTAAAAACCTGCTGGTCCTGAGGCTCCACCCAGATGGATTAAATCTAGCATTCAGGTTATGCCAACGTTTGAGAACCACTGGTTTGAGGGAGCTAAAGAGAAAGCGAGATGTTGGGATTAAAGCAGGACAGGGGATGTGTGGCGTGGTGGTGTGCCGTGGAGTCCGTTCCTACTCAGAGCGACCCTGCATGGTGTTTCTGAGGCTGTAAATCTTTGTGGGAGCAGAAAGCCATAAAATGGCTGGAAGTTTTGAACTGTTGACTTTGAATTTAGCAGCATAACTCGTAACCACTACGCTACCAGAGCTCCTTGTGGGACGATGGAGGGGGTCAGAATTTACCTGAGTAAATTAAATGAGGGGAGAAGATACAGCTGCTTTCTCCAGCACCTGTTCTAAGATACTACACTGCTCTTGGTTTGGGTCATGGTTTCATGATGCATCTCAGTTCAACTAATAACAAGTTTGGTAAATGCTGTTTAGTTGGTTCCAACTTAAAACAACTTTGTATAGAGTTTCCAAGGTGTGGATTTGAACCACTGAGCTTCTGGTGAGCCGTCCAGTGCTTATCCTATAGCTCCACACATTTTTAGTTCTTCTAAAATTTGCAGACAGCCATCCAAGGCCCAGTTGGCCCTATTCACCTAAAACAACAAACAAAAAGTCAGGAATAGGAAGATATGGAATGTTTGGCTAATTAACCACCTCCATGAAAAACTGCCTCTCTTGCCATAAGAATTCCTGATAAAAAGGGGAGAAATGCAAATCAGAATTTCAAATTCTCATGGACTCAATTTCCTGAAGGCTGGATAAACCCCTAAAACTATTATCCTGAGATAATCTTTAAATCATAAACCAGAAACATCCCCTGAAGTCTTAAACCCAAGCAATAGTGAAGCTTAACTATGAAAAATGTCTGCCTTGAGCATTTTGGTACTTTAAGAACTATGTATATGGGATTATCTATGACCCTAAACCCAAAAGAACTACATGGTGTCTGGCTATCATGCCCACCTGCTCTAAAAAGGGATCACAACATGAGATCTTGGGTAGAGTGGTTAGCATTGGACTGCTAACCACAAGGTTGGAGATTCAAATTCACCAGTCACTCCTTGGAAATCCAATGACTAGGAACTGTCTTTTGATGGCACTTAACAGCATATATATATATATATATAGAGAGAGAGAGAGAGAGAGAGAGAGAGAGAGAGAGAGAGAGCCCTAGTCTGGTACTGTAGGATATGCACTGGACTGCTAACTGCAAGATCAGTAGTTCAAATCCACCAGCCACTCCTTAGAAACCCTATACAGGATTACTATAAGTCGGAATTGACTCTACAGCACTGAACAACAATTTATAGCAACCCTGTATAGGGTTTCTGAGGAGCAGCTGGTGGGTTTGAACTGCTGATCTTGTGGCTCACAGTCCAGTGCTGATCCTACAGCGCCACACCAGGGTACGTATTTGTTGTGAAGTACAGTCGAGTCATAGTGACTCTACAGGGATTCCGAGTCTGTAAGTCTTAACAAGAGCAGAAAGCCTCATTTTTCTCCCATGGAGCACCTGGTAGATTCCAATGACTGGCTAGCATCCCAGCTCATATCGTAATCCACCATGCTACCAGGACTCATATATCATATAGGATATATAGATTGTAAAGTGTCGTTGAGTCGGGTCCAGTTCATAAGGACCCTGTATAGGGTCTCCAAGGAGCAACTAATAAGTTTGAATCACCACCAACCTTGTTCAAATTGACCTAACAATCGAGTGCTTATCCTACATATAATGAGTTATAAACCCAGAAAAAACACACCACAAAACCTTAGAATCTAGGTTCCATTTCAGAAGTCTTTCTTATGAGATCTAAGCCCCGTAGATCTCAAAGTAAATATAGGATAGAAGATGCCACCCAGAACCCTGCCTTTGCAGTGTGGTCCTTGATGTGTAGTGTGTGCATCACTTTAAAATTTGGTAGAAATACTCCATTCCTGATGAGTATTCCGGAACACATAATTGTGCTCAAGAGGAATCTGTACATGGACCAAGAGGCAGTTGTTCAAACAGAACATGGGAACAATGAAGTTTAAAATTAAGAAAGGTGTGTGACAAGGTTGTATTCTTTTACCATACTTATTCAACCTGTATGCTGAGCAAATAATCCAAGAAACTGGGTTCTATGAAGAAAAACGTGGCATCAGGATTGCAGGAAAACTCATTAACAACCTGTAATATGCAGATGATACAACCTTGCTTGCTGAAAGTGAAGAGGACTTAAAATATTTACTGAAGATCAGAGATCACAGCCTTTGGTATAGATTGCATCTCAATGTAAAGAAAACAAAATTCCTCACCACTGGACCAATAAACAACATTCTTATCAATGGAGAAAAGATTGAAGAATGTCATCGCTGTATTGTACATGGAGAAATTTGAATTGGTGATGACCATAACCCTCAAGGCCTCAGCTTCCCTGGAAGAAGGTCAGAGGGGTTCTCTTAACACCTACCCAGGTCCCACTCATGCACACCTAAGGTTGCTCCCACCTAGAATCCTGGATCAGGGCACGCACCAAATGCTGAAGAAGCCCACCATAGGAGGGGAGGAGAGCAAAAAGAGGTGTGAGGGACAGTCCTTAGTCAGAAACTCTGGGTCCTCACACATAATGTCCCCTCTTGTATAATCCTATATAAAAACAACAGTCAACCATTAAATAACAAAGAGTATGAAAACTCACAAAGATCAGCAAGCAGGTAGCCAACTCTGCAAGGAAGATCTGGGGTGGCCGCCACCTGGTGGTCACTCTTAATACTGCAAATCAAATTAATGATGAAAGATGTACGGTCTCAGAAACCCAATGGGCAGTTGGAATCAACTCGATGGCAGTTAGGTTTAGGTAGGGTGTTTAGTTGCAAGGAAGTCTGGTCGGGCTGTGAGATTGGGCTGCTAACGGCAAGGTTGAGAGTTTAAACCCACCAGCCACACTCTGCCAGAGAAAAACAATGCTAATTTGCTCCCGTAAAGATTTAGTCTCAGAAAAACTAAGGAGCAGTTCTACACTGTCCAACTGAGTTGCCTGAGTTGGAATCGACTAGATGGCAATGGGTGGGTTGAGTTTTCAATTTAGCTGAGGTGGCAGCATGGGCAGAGGGGCTACTGTCTGGCCACTGGGCAGTAGCCTGCCGGCAACAGTAAGGAAGGAGTGGGAAGAGAACATTGAATAGCTCGTGCAAGCCAGTGCTTTACATACGTGCATCTTATTTCATCCTCGCCACAACAGTAGTATCCTGGGCTTACACCATCTGTCTGTTATAGCATGGTTTATGTGTTGTTGTGATGCTGGAAGCTATACCACCATTTCAAATACCAGTAGGGTCACCCATGGTGGTCAAATTTCGGCAGAGCTTCCACACTAAGAGACTAGGAAGAAAGGCCTGGCAATCCACTTCCAAAACTTAGTCATTGAAAATCTTATAGAGCACAACAGAACACTGTCTACTATAGTCCTGGAAGATGAGTTGTCCCCTAAGTTGGAAAGCCTCAAAACACACCATGTTTATAACAATGGACTCAGGCATACCAAAATCACAAAGATAGTGAGGGACCAGGCAACACCTTGTTTTGTTATATATGGGTCACTTTGAGACATGGCAAGTAAAGGATAGAGGTAGGACTTGAACCCAGGCAGGCCTGTATGACTCCAAAGCTCCCAACCTCTGTACCATGCTTCTGGGAACCCCAGATGAAAGGGTGGTATAGTATTGCCCTTCACAGGCCCTTGCCACCAGCGTTAGGTCCTGCAGGACAAAGGTGTGGGCAGTGTGGAAAGAGCATCCAAAAGCTCAGATGTTTGCATCATCTGCAGACAAAAGAAAAATAAAACAGATGAAGTAGGAAGGGTGCTGTTATATGGAAGGGATTGCAATCAATGTGTATGAAGTGTTAAATGGAAAACCTGTTTGCTCTGTAAACTTACACTGAA